CATTTTATATTTTCTACGTAGCTTTTCCCCCCTCTTCTATTTATCGTTCTTTCTAAAGTCTCAACTTTGGCGAACAAAGCTGGATGCAGTTATTCCAAGCGTGGTCTTACGAGGGCCTTATCAAGTGGTACTTTCCCTTCCCGTCAGAGGTGCGTCTTCGGCCGGTTCTGACCAGTTCTGGAGAACCAGTAGCAGAAATTTGGAGTCATTGGGAGAACCGGCAAAAGAACCACCTCTGACTGGCCCCGCCAGCCCCATATCTCTTCTCTGACTCCCATCGAGTCCCAGCTGATGGGCTGGGTCTCCTTGGGTTGCCCTGCCCAGGAGAACGGAGCTGGAAAGCAGGTTAGTGAGGCGGGGGAGGGAAGGGGGATTTGGCAGTATATCCTTCCCCTGCCACGCCCACCAAGCCACGCCACGCCCACAGAACCAGGAGTGAAAAAAAAAAATTGGAATCCCACCCCTGAAGGAAGGGGAGAAGAATGAATATATACGCTGCTTGACGGACAGCGTTGATTTTTCTAGTCTGCCGACTCCTTTCCTCCATCTTCTCGACTCGGTGCGGTGGGGGAGGGGGCGATGCGCGGGGGGCACCTTCTTGCAGATGTGTAATTAGATTCTGACATCTCCTGGGTCGGGCCAGGCAATTTGCACCTCTTTCTGTCGGCTGGTTCTAAATTTAGCCATCCCTGCATTAGGTAAAGATCTTGTCCTCCAGACAGCACCCTTAATTGGTTGTGATGGGTGACTTCGTGGCTCGGTGTTCGGTGTTCGGGAGACGTGATTAAGGAGGGTGGCGAAGGCTGCTGGCACCCACGCGAAGACGCTCCGGGCGAAGGGAAGGGGGAGGGGGGTTTAAAGGTGGAGGAGGCCGACGCCAGACAGAGGGACTCCTGCAATAAGTCTTCTCGCTAACATGACACATTGTCAGCCCCTTATGAAGGGTGCCAGCAGCTGACGAGGACAGAAACGTTGCTGATTAGAACCTACCTAAAATGCATGATGATCTGGGAGACCTCTTAAGGACAGCCAGACCTTCCTTTTTATAATAGAGACACCCCAAGGGGGGGGGTGGAATCTATGGAGATTCATTCTCCATAGTCCCCAAAGGTTTTTTTTTTTCCTTTTAATAATAAATTGTATTAAACTTTACACTTTTAAAAACAAATCATATTTACAATTTTGGCAGTAGTTTGTGGCCTCGACTTTTTCATATTCATTTACATACATACATACATATCATTTACATTTACATTTACATTTTACATTGTCTTTTATTCCTGTTATCTAACCAGACATAACATTTTTCCCAGACCGTATTTCATTCTTTTTCTTCCTTCTCCTGCAATTCCATTGTAAGTTTATTCATTTCTGCACAGTCCATAATTTTCTTTATAATCATATCATCATCAACTCTCTGATTTCCAAATTTGGGCCTGTGTTATCCTCGCTGCTGTCAATATGTGCATTATTATATATTCAATATCTTTCTTGTAATCACCTCTAATTATCCCTAGTAAGAACATTTCAGGCTTAAGTTCTATTTTTAAACCAATTATTTCTTGCAAACGGATCCTTATTTTATTCCAAAATTTCTTTGCTTTAGGACACATATGAAAAAAGGTCCCTGATGTCTTTTTGTGCATTTTTTTTCTTTTTTTTTTCAAGAGACAACTGGACTTTCTGGTTTTTCTTTCGAAGGCGTTTCGCTTCTCATGCAAAGAAGCTTCTTCAGCTCTAACAGGACGGTGGAGCTCTGGCCTCACAATCAGGAGGCTGCGAGTTTGATCCTAGATAGAGGCATATATTTATCTCTCTCTTGAGTACAATGAGAAAATATCTGCTGAACGAAACTCTGCACTGGCAATAGGAAGGGCATCCGGCCAGTAAACACGCTACTAGTTCCATTCAGTTGTCCCGACTTCACCCAGCAAGGGATTATGGGTCATTAAAAGAAGGTAGAAAGTTTTTGAATCGAGCAATGCTATTTAATCCATCTGCCTTCTCCTCTTGGCCAAAATCTATGAACATTCACCCCAACTTGACCCCGACTGGACACCAAGCATTGCTGGAATGGTTTTGCCTGTTTCATGGAAGGTAGAACCTACCTGAACTTTAGGAGAAAGAGTGGATGATGGAAAAAATCTTCCTAAACAGGTGGATGGTCCCTTTTGGGTGCCACACCCCTTCCAAGAAGAGGCTCTGAATTTCCTATTAGGAGGGTCAGACTTGATGTCCTTTCGGGAGCCCCCTTCTCTCCAAGTTCCTTGAGTTGTTGAGCAGCTGGGGCAAGCGCCTCCTTCCTGGAAGCAGAAATGCCCCAAATTTGGCAAACTCTTTCATGGCAGGAGCGCAAATCACCCGCGGGCTACGTTACGACAGTTACATTCTGCTCTATAGGCTGGCTTTGCGCCGTTATTTAAATCTGCATCTAGACTCCTGAGCTTGGGCATCTATATTTTTTTCTTTCTTTCCCCCTTCCTCTTTCTCCATTAATCTCTTCCCCCTAGTATCTCTCTCTCTCTCTCTCTCTCTTTGGGACAATTTCTCTTTCCTTTCTTCCTGGCCCTTTTTTTCTTGCCTGGGGGATGCAAATCTACACGAATGCAAGGAAGGCAGGAAGGCTCTTGCACCCATCGAATGAGTTATGAAGTGAAGAGGCCGCGGTTCTTGCAATCTCTTCGAGGAATGGCTGAGGATGGAATAAGCCCATTGTTTGAGCTGGAGGGGGTCTTCCAAGAAGCCATTTCCATCCCGAAGAGGCCAAGAGGGACGCAGTTGTGTGCAACCACGACTTCTTAAGGGCATCCTGTCCACGCTTCTCTCTCTCTCTGTGTCCTGACTGTAAACAGGAGGGTCCAATTTCCTTTGCATTGCAGCCGTCCCTGGAGATCCCACCGGAGGAGCAAATGACGTTCACGGCCCATCGCTTGTCATAAATCAACCCGCTCTGCTAATTTTAGTGTCACGGCAGTGGTGTTCACCAGCTGGGGCTTCCAACTCACAAAGCTGACCTGTTGTTGTTTTTTTTAATAAAGGAAGATAGACACTCCATGGGAAGTGGAGAGACATGCACATTTTCGGTGGAGAACATCAACTGAGATTTCAATGGAGGCTTTTGGAGGGTTTGTGGTCCTCCAGAAGTTGACTAACTAGAAGTTTCCTCTCTCTTGGCCAACAGCCATGCCAGCAGGGCGGCTCTCTGGGAAAACTTGAATCTGGGAGTTCCAGGTTTTCCCTTCCCAAAAGAGAAATCAAAGATCCATCGCTTGCGTCCATCAGTCTATCACATGGCTCAATCAAATCTTCACCCCAACTGGAGACATTCCCCCCAGTCACTCCCCTCCAGGTGCAGGGCAATCTGTCCTTGAATCTCTGAGAAAGAATTTAGTTGCGTTAAGCCAGCAGTGTGTCCCATGAAGCCATATTGCTTGAGGACCAGCTCTGCGTAGTGTTGAAAATACGGTGAACATAATAACAGCGATGGCTCCCAGAGTCACTTTATAGGGGAGATCGATGTCATAAAAATTTAATAAATAATAGCAGTTATTTATTTTTTTATTGATTGATTTCTATAGCTGTCCAGAGTCATTTGCTGAGATGGGCAGTGTCAAACTTGGAAGCCATATTTTGCTTGGACGCTTTGAGGCTGCCACATTGAGTGCCTGGGAATTTCATAGCGGGGTAGAAGATTAGACAACAACACTCTTTCTCAGAGAGTCAAGGACAGATTGCCCTGCACCTGGAGGGGAGTGGCTAGGGTGAATGTCTCCAGTTGGGACAAAGATTTGATTGGGCCTCGTGATGGACTGGTGGGTGCAGCAGGGGATGGATCTTTGCATTTCTTTGGGGGAGGGAAAACCTGGAATTTTCAGATTTGGGTTTTCCCAGGTGTGCCAATATGACAACTCTAATAAAATGGAACTTTGAGGGACTGTTTGTCTCGGAGTTTATTGGTTTGGAGTTGGTTAGTTGGAACGCTGACAGGCAGCTGTAGAAGTCAAATAAATAAACAATGCTATTATTAATTGATAGTAATACTCTGGGTGGCTATCATAACAAGGCATCGTTTGAGTTTGGGTTCACGATAGGGCATAGTCTCATTTCATCTATTTTTCCTTGGCTGAGTTCCTCGTGTGCGCTTGGAAGAAAAAAGCTCTCTTTTTTTCCAAACCACTTACAAAAAGAAAGAAAAAAAAAGAATGATTTTTGTGATCATAACCACGGGAGACAGGAATCTTTGCTGCATAGCGGGGAGAAAAAAGACACCACACTAGGTATTGACTTATTCTTTGCTGGATCTGCATTTCTCAGCTCATAAAAAGGCATCAGCAAAACGAAAACAAACTTTTCATCGGAGCAAAGCGGCCTACTTTAAACCCTTGAAAATTAACTACTCCGTGTGTAATTGCTACCAGGGCGAGCATGTATTTTTAAGAGAGAATTTAAAACATTTGTGTCTTTATCACTTCAGTAATAGAGTTGGGGATTTGGGGAATAACTTGGAAAAAATAAATCTCTGTAAATAATGAAAGAAACTCTGTTCACTCTCAAAAATGTTCTGTAGTGAAAAGCTCTTTTTTGAATCTTGAGTCTTTAGAGAAGATTCTGCATTCTCCATTTCTGGCCCAACAGAAAGTGACACAGCTTCTAAGCCTCCCTTTTTTTTTTTGCAATCCATTCTATCCTTCCTCCAGATGTTCTCCAGGTTGCCAGGGTGGTGATATAGAAGGGGCAGGTTTCCCATGTTTTAGAGGGAAAACCTGACAGAGGTGAACCCTAGAACTCTAGTGACTTCCTGATACATCTCACCCTATTTTGGAGAGAAGTCTAGGATCTTCAAGATCCAGGAAGTCTTGGAGGAACATCTCCAGTTGACCTCATTCCTAGATGTGATGTTCCTGGGATCTTCACTAGGATCTTCAAGATCCAGGAAGTTTTGGAGAAACCTCTCCAGTTGACCTCATTCCTAGATGTGATGTTCCTGGGATCTTCACTAGGATCTTCAAGATCCAGGAAGTCTTGAAGAAACCTCTCCAGTTGACCTCAATCCTAGATGTGATGTTCCTGGGATCTTCACCAGGATCTTCAAGATCCAGGAAGTCTTGGAGAAACCTCTCCAGTTGACCTCATTCCTAGATGTGATGTTCCTGGGATCTTCACTAGGATCTTCAAGATCCAGGAAGTCTTGGAGAAACATCTCCAGTTGACCTCATCCCTAGATGTGATGTTCCTGGGATCTTCACTAGGATCTTCAAGATCCAGGAAGTCTTGGAGGAACATCTCCAGTTGACCTCATTCCTAGATGTGATGTTCCTAGGCTCTTCACTAGGATCTTCAAGATCCAGGAAGTCTTGGAGAAACCTCTCCAGTTGACCTCGTTCCTAGATGTGATGCTTATGGTTGATCAGATGAGTAACGAACCTTCTTCCTTCTCCCACCAGCACCTCCCACATCCATCTCGGTCATTGCTGCGGACACCCCAGCTCCGTTCAGCCGCTACCAAGCCCAGAATTTTACCTTGGTCTGCCTTGTCTCTGGTGGAAAACCAGCCCCCACGGTAAGTTTTGGTAAACAAGAATGTCCACCTCTAAATCTTGCTATGGCACCTGTCTCATTTTCAACTTTTAATTACCTCCATTGTGGCTTACAAGGTGTTGAAATAAGGACTGTTGGTATGATGGCATGGATCCATCTTCTTGAGATGAGTCTCCAGTTTTCACTTTGGTCCCAGTTCATAAACAGGGTGGATTCAACATATATTGACGGAGCACACATGATCCCTACAAAATTCAGATTTTTTTAAAATTGATCTCAAGCCAATTGGCTCAGAGGAGCAGCCAAATATTTTTGGGGGTGGGTTCAATCAATCAATCAGAATAGAGCTGGAAGGGACTTTGGAGGTCTTCTAGTCCAACCAACTGCTTAGACAGGAAACTCTACAGCATTTCAGACAAAGGGTTATCCAGTCTCTTCTTAAACATTTCCAGCATTGGAGCATTTGCAACTTCTGGAGGCAAGTTGTTCCACTGGTTAATTGTTCTCCCAGCCAGGAAATTCCTCCTTAGTTCTAAGGTTGCTTCTCTCTTTGGTTAGTTTCCACCTATTGTTTCTTGTCCTGCCTTCTCAGGTGCTTTGGAGAATAGCTTGACTCCCTCTTCTTTGGGGCAGCCCCTCAAATATTGGAAGACTGTTATCATGTCACCCTCCTAATCCTTCTTTTCTGTAGACCAGGGTTGTCAAACTCAATTTCATTGAGGGATCATCAGGCTGTGGTTGACCTCGAGGAGAGAGGGCTGGGGAGGCATGGCCGACTGGGTGGGTGTGGCCAGTTTGATGCCACCCCAAATTGCTGGCATGTTTCCTCTTCACATTGGGTAGACCGGGCCGAAGCGATGTGGGCTGGCCCCTTACATCAAGGGTCTTCAAACTTGGTAAATTTAAGACTTGTGGATTTCAACTCCCAGAATTCCTGAGCTAACATGACTGGAGGAGGAATTCTGGGAGTTGAAGTCCACAAGTCTTCAAGCTGTCACGTTTGAAGACCCCTGCCTTACATTTTCCAGGACATCCCTGTGGGCTGGATCCAACCACATTGTGGGCTGGTTTCAGCCCACGGGCCTTGAGTTTGACACCCCTGGTCTAGACCAGGGGTCTCTAACCTTAGCAACTTTAAGACTTGTGGACTTCAACTCCCAGAATTCCTCAGTCAGCAAAACTGAGCAAAGCTGGCTAAAGAATTCTGGGAATTAAAGTCCACAAGTGTTAAAGTTGCCAAGGTTGGAGACCCCTGGTCTAGACTATCCATACCCAATTTCTGCCACTGTTCTTCATATGTTTTAGTCTCCAGGCCCTTCTGTTGCCCAATTTTTAAAGCAAAATAATAATAACAAAATAATAATATTAATAATAATATTATTAATAATAATAATAACAACAACAATAATAATATTGCAAGGAGTATCCCTAGAGAATGAACACCCCTGTCTTCCCATCTGGAGATTTTAAAAAAAGACTCCCAATTCTATGGTTATCCATCTGGATACAGGCGTTCCTCACTTACCAACCACAATGGGGACTGTGTCAGGATTCCAGCGATTGCCCTAATTAAATCATGACCCTTGAGCCAAACTTCAAAAAGCTTCAAATCATTCATTAGCAGCGACATATTGGCAAGACCTGTATGCAGCCGACCCTGAGACACGCAAGCCACTGTCATCCCCAACCCTGACCCACCCCCCCACCCCTCTGGGTGCACCACAATCCATATTCTCCAACGTAACACATCCACAGCCAAGAGTCAACCATCATGCCCTCCAACCAGAGATCTGTGCAGCAGAAACTCCCGTCGGCCAGTACAATCTCTCACCCCCAAACTGCTGCACCGCTCCCCCAAAGTCCTCTCCCTCCCTCTCCGTTGGCAACTGCAAAACGGGCGTAGAAAAAGTTTCATGAGTTGACATTTGGCTCCCCTCACTTCTTGAAGGCGATCTGTACGACACACCAAAAAACCCAAATTGATTGCAGGTATAGAACTTAGGCTTACAGACTGCTTCACTTAACAACTGGTAGATGTATGCCGGTTGCCAAATGCCCAAATTTTGATCACGGGTCGTAAGGGGAAGGACCGGTTGTAAGACACTTTTTTTTCAGTGCCATTGTTGCTGTAAACAAATGGTTGTAAGTCGAGGACTATCTTATTAAAAGTTTTGAGGGGGTGTTTTGCAACATCCTTTTCTGCACAGCCTCGGAGCGGTTATATTTTATCCTTTCTGGAGTTTTTTTTTTCTCGTGGTTTGTCCCGAAGGTGCTTTTATTTTCTTTCTTTAAGAGGCCACTGGACTTCCTCGTTTCTTTTTCTTTTGAAGACATTTCACTTCTCATCCAAGAAGCTTCTTCAGCTCTGACAGGATAGCGGGGAATGGAAGGATTTCTATTCCTTGCAGACAGCTGCGAAGAAAAATAGCACCTTTGGGACAACCGTACCCGGAGGACGGAGAATCTCTGCAGACTTTTAGCTATACAATTTGGGATGGACACCCTTGGAATGTTGTAGGAGTCAGAAGGGATTTCCAGGGGGGAAAATTGCAGACTACAAAAACCAGGACACACTACTCAGGTGACCCCTTAGGACAAAGAGGCCTCAACGACCCTCTAAAAAGGATGCAAACGGCCAGCTCTGTCCGCAAGGAATATAGATCCTTCCCTTCTCCGCCATCCTGCAGTCAGAGCTGAAGAAGCTTCTGGGATGAGAAGTGAAACCTCTTCAGAGAAAAACCAAGAAAGTCCAAATACCTCCTGAGCAAACCAAAAAAAAAGCACAACCTTTTGGGATAACCATGACTTGGATGCCTGAGAATCTCTACAGACTTCCCATGGTTCGGTTTCCTTCCACCCTTTCAAATCATGTTCATCCTAGTGGATCCTTTTTTATACAAGCAGACACAGGATGCTGCGAGAACGGTAGGGAGTGATGGGGAAAGCCTTGCATTCTAAGCATCCCGAGAATAATTTCTGCTAATTAATTCGGAAGACAGAAACATCTACATTTGGAGAGAAGAAGAAAGAAAAACCCACGGAGAAGGAGGAGCGAGGAACAAAGCTTTTGGCAGCTGCTTCTATCTTTCCACCTGGAAAGATTATAAAAAAAAGAAAAGAAAATACCTCTCACTTATCCGCAAACATTCCCGAGGCTGTTTCATTACAGCGTGACATCAGAAGCCTGAAAAGAGATGGGGGGGGGGGTGTTTGGGGTGGGGGCAACGCAAGGCAATCTTCTCTTCAGAGAGACATTCAAAAGGACTTAAACAAGCGTTGCGTTCCTCACGGCTCCAGCTACACAAACATGACACACACACACACACACCCGCGTGGCATCCCGCAATCTCGTTGGTGCAGACATCTCTGCCAATGCAGTGGGTTTTCGTGCCGGGCGGGTGCTGTTCAGAGGTGGGTCTTCAGCAGGTTCTGACCGGTTCTGGAGAACCGGTCACTTGGAGTCATTGGGAGAACCAGCCAATCCCACCTCGGACTGGCCCAGCCAACCCCCATCTCTCTTCTCTGCCTCCCATCGAGTCCCAGCTGATCGGCTGGGTCTCCTTGGGTTGCCCTGCCCAGGAGAACGGAGCTGGAAAGCAGGTTAGTGGGGTGGGGGAGGGGAGGGGGTTTTGGCAGTATATCCTTCCCCTGCCACGCCCGCCAAGCCACGCCCACCAAGCCAAGCCACGCCCACAGAACCGGTAGTCAAAAAAATATATAGAATCCCACCAATGGCTGCTGTGGGTTTCCCACATTAGAGATACAGATAACAGATTAACAGAGTTGGAAGGGATCTTGTAGGCCATCTAGTCCAACCCTCTGCCCAGGCAGGAGACCCTACGCCATTTCACAGGTTAACAGAGTTGGATGGGAACTTGTAGGTCATCTAGTCCAACCCCCTGCACCCAAGCAGGAGACCCTGCATCGTTCCTGACAGATTTGCAGTCTAATTTCAGTCTAATCAGGGATGAAGCTTCCACAACTTCCGAAGGCAACTTGTGTTCCATGGGCTGATTGTTCTCACTGTCAGAAAATTCCTCCTTATTTCCAGGTTGAATCTCTCCTTGTTAAGTTTCCATCCATTATTCCTTGTCTGGCCTTTGGGGGCTTTGGAGAATAGCTTGACCCCCTTCCTCCTCCCCGTGGCAGCCCCTCAAATCTTGGAAGGCTGCTCTCCTGTCTCCCCTGGTCCTTCTCTTCCCTAGACTAGCCATGTTCCTGCAACCATTCATAGTATGTTTTAGAGGAACTGGTTTCTTATAAAACTTTTGTCCTGAATTTGAGCCGGCCCTAAATTTTCATCCTGATAGTCCACCCTCCACCCAATGTGGTCTTAACTTTTTCAAGAGCCTCAGTGGCGCAGTGGTTAGAGTGCAGTACTGCAGGCTACTTCTGCCCGGCTTAATTTGGCAGTTCGAATCCTACCAGGCTCCAAGTCGACTCAGCCTTCCATCCTTCCGAGGTGGGTAAAATGAGCACCCAGATTGTTGGAGGCAACAAAATGACTGTATAAACCACTTAGAGAGGGCTGGAAAGCGCTATAAAGCGGTATATAAGCCTAAGTACTGTTGCTATTGCGATTATTATATTATTGGGGAGACATTTGGGGCTCGTTTCTGTAAATCGGCTCTCTCCCCAGTCAGGCATTTCTTGAGGAACAAAAAAGAAATGAAAGCATTTAAAATCTGCTCAGGGACTTAGAGGTAGCCCTCGATTTACAAAAGTTCATTTAACGTCCATTTGCAGTTACAGCGGTGCTGAAAAGGGGTGACTTATGATCCCTTTTCACACCCCGTGACCGTGTGATCAAAATTCAGGTGCTCATATTTACGATGGTCGCCCAGATCCTCTTTTTGCGACCTTGCGAGCCAAGTCAACGGGGGAAGCCGGATCCTCTTGGCAGCTGTGTTGCTCTCTGAACAGCTGCACTGATTCACTTAACGACGGTGGCAGGAAAGGTTGTAAAATGGGGCCAAAGTCACTTCACAACAGTCTCGCTTAGCCACGAAACATTTTGGGCTCAATTGTGGTTGTACGTTGAGGGCTGCAGTTGGGTAGTTTGGAGAACCAGCTCCAACCTGTTCTATACTTTTCTAGACTGTGCATAACCTCATCAACTGGGAAGGAAGAGTGTTATTCATCACTTGACAGAATTTCCTCCTCCAGAATTTTTTTTTATTCTTGTTATTATAAAAAGACTTGATTAAACACATTTATACAAATACAGTAAAATCAAACTTTCAGCTTATCGCAACTTAAGCCGAACAGCGTTCAATCTGACATCTCTCAAGTTGTGTAAAATATTCATTCACGGTTGTGACTTCAAACACATAATACAAAGTTTCATCTAATTATATATTACGAATCTAATGACATGTAGCGTTGCTGGTTTCCGTCGTGCCATTTTATTTGACTTTATTTTATTAATTTCACATCTGTCTTCTAGCCAATTGTACCAACCATTCCAGATCTCGTCATATTCTGATTCCAGGTTTACTTTAAAAGGGATGGAGAGTTGATACAGGGGATCCCGCTGACGGAGCCGCCGATTAACGCCGCCGGGTTGCAAGACAGCCGAGCTGCCCGGAGCTTCTTCCACCGGGACTTGGATGACACCAAGATGCAGCGGTCCCTGTCGCTGCTGAACGTGGAGGACCGGGGCGGGAGGCTGTACACCGAGGACCCTTTCCAAGGCCTCACTCCCGACTGGGGACTGTTGCTCAACCCCACGACCGAGAATATCCCCGAAACTGTGGTGAGCCGGGAGTTCCCGCGTTGGATCCAGAACGCCGATCCTATGTATTTCTTCCACCACACCCACATCCCCATCAGCGACGGCACCGTGGAGGTGCGGGCCATGCTCATGTGGACCCTTAATCCTCAGATAGACAATGATGCGCTCTTCAGTTGTGAGGTCAAGCATGATGCTCTCTCGATGCCCATGCAGTCCGAGGTGACTCTAGGTAAGGGCCCAGAAGTCGCCTTCCTGGGTAGGGGGCGGGTGGTTGGGAGATGGGTTGAGGGGTCCTGCAGAAATAATCAAGTCTATCCCCAATGTTTTGGGTATCCGGGCATCGGTTCTCTGCGTCTTTCCGTGGCTGTTTGTGAGGTGGTTTTAGAAAGAATTGAAGAAGGTCCAGCAGACCGTTTGGGAGAGGGAGGTCTCCAACGTTGACGACTTGAAGACACGTGGATGTCAACTCCCAGAATTCTCCAGCCAGCGTGGAGTCTCGACTCTGGGAGTTGAAGTCCACACAGGTCTTAAAAGCTGCCAAGGTTGGATACTCCTGACTTCCACGCAGCTTTTGTGAGCCTCTGGGAGCTGAAGTCCACAAGTCTTAATGTTGACAAGGATGGATCCAGGGAAGGAAACGAATGTGTCCCCCCCTGGAATGAATTCCCCCCAACTTCCAAAGGAACTCTGTCCCACCTGTTCCCTTCTCTCTCGCTTTGCCTCCCTTCCTACTCCAGGGAAGATTACCGCTTGCCTTTTGAGTTGGGCCCCTGCCTGCTCGCCCTTTCATTAAATTTAATGGGTTCCTGGTGCCATTCACGGGAACAAGAAAATAATTCTGATATCTCTTCCCAACCGAGATCTTTCCGTAAAAAAAAACCAAAAAAAAAAAAACCACGACAAGCGCACTCTTCATTCCTACATATTTATTCTCCTCTCCGTTTTGTTCTACCTTCCTGGCTGGCTCATTAATCGAGGAACCCTTTTGAAAGGCAGCCGTGAAAGACGCCGGATTTCTCTTGCCTTTTATTCTTGCTGGTGGTGAGATCCTTCCAAGCTAATGAACCTTGGCAGGCACGAAATCCGAGCAATAAAAGAAAGAGAGGAAGCATCCCCTTCCTCGTGTCTCCTGCCTCTTCTCCCATCCATCCAGGAACCAACCGGAGGAATGAACCTGGACAGGTGTCCCTAATGTGTTACCTCCCTGGCAGCCTCCAAATCGAGAGAGAGAGAGAGAGAGAGAGAGAGAGAG